TTCCTATAAGAATAATATGTTAAAAATGCACAATACATATAAATAATGACCAACCATACATATATAATAACCAACCACTCTACTAACCAACCTAAACAAAAAGATAATGTAAAAGCTTGTCCTGCCAAAATTCTCRGGTCATTCTCGGGCGAAGACGTGCACGAGAATTCATACAGTATTAAATATTCGCTCGAAAATTTTTAACACTGTATGAATTCTCGTGCGTTTTACGGGCGAGATCGTGCCCCGAGAATTTATCCAGAGACAAACAATTCCACAAGTTTCGAATCACTTCGCCCGAAGAGCCCCGAGAATTCTCACAATMTTTTCACCCGAAAGCCCCCGAGAATCATCGATAACTTGTTCAGATGAATACCCCACTGAAAAAAAATCCAACCCCCAACCCACTTCGCCCGAAATCCACCGAGAATTGTTCAGATTCTACAAAACCCACCCCAAAACGATGAAATTCCCAAACACTTCACCCGAAATCCATTGAGAACTACTGGTTCAGATGAAAACCCACTCCAAAAATAGAAGCCSTAACCCACTTCGAACGAAATCGCCCCGATAATTTGTACGTTTCCTAAAAACCCACTCTGAAGTTTCAAATCCCTAACTTTAAACCACCGATTTTACAGAAATCGAAACAAAGAAACCACAAAACCGAAGACGAAATTGCCGGAAATGAAGAAATAAAACAAAAATTAGGAACCTTCTTACCTCAATGCTTCGGGTGTGAGAGATTAAGCGGGAGACGAAGACGAAATCCGAAGACTCAATAATAAACAGTAGTAAAGGAGGAAGATAAAGGGGAAAAAACGGAAGAGGAAGAGGAAGAGGGAAGAGGGAAGAGGGAATGAGTGCAACGGTTATTTTTTCATTTTGAGGGGCATAAATGTAACTTCTATTTTTTTAAAATTAATTAAAATAATCAGAAATGTTATTGAAAACATTTTTTTAGGGGTGGGTTACTTGAGCAAATCGAAAACTTGGAGGTCATTTTAGTCAAATTCCCCAGTGGCGACTGGCAAGAGGAATTAAATATAATTAAAAAAGTATTTTGAAAAGTAACAGGAAAATATTACAATTTGAACCTTAAATGAGCCAATGGGCCATCGCAGGCCCAAGCCCAGCACATCTGGAACACCCCTGGCCCTGGCCCTCTCAGTTCTCATTACTTTTGGCGGGAAACTGCGACATTTCGGCGCCAAACAACTCTTTACCCTCATTCTCCACTCTCCACACGCAATCCTTGGATTCAGCTTTCTCCATCTCAATTCTCACAAGAGGCGCACCCAAGATATGGACAACCATGGAGCCGGTAGTTATTTCGTGGATGAGAAGGCCGTTCTTGTCGAGAACATTTTCTTCGACTTTCTCAAGAGGTTAGCCGCATCCTTCTCTTTCATTTCAACATTTCAATCCCCACTCCCTCGCCAACTATTGAATAATTTGTATTCAGTTTTCGCCTCAATGGGAACTCTGGAGACCCTCACTACGAGGCCGAGATAGAAACTATGATGACTGGCGAATCAAACACCATGTTCATTGATTTTGCTCACCTTATGCGCTCCAATGATCTTCTTCACATAGCAATCGCTGACGAATACTTGAGGTCTTTCTTTGCTTTTCAATTTCCTATTGCTTCTAATCCTTAGATGGTCTCGTAATCACAACATTCTACGATTGCCTTCTTCCTTCAATCCATAGGTTTGAACCGTATCTCAAGAATGCCTGTAAGCGATTTGTGATGGAGCAGAATCCTTATTTTATCGCTGAGGATAACCCCTTCAAGGACATAAATGTTGCTTTTTTCAACATTCCTGTTTCTAAAAGGTACATCCTGTACCCACTTTTTTTGTTTTTGTTTTTTTTTTTTGAATCTGTAAATATTCTGGTATAGCTTCACCCTCATACGTATCTTAACTTGACGAGCATCTTGGAAACCCTGTTAAAACGGTCATTAATTGGTACCTGTTGGCATCGTACTCCCAACTATAGGTTGAGAGAATTGGCTACTGCAGAAATTGGGAAATTGGTATCTGTGACAGGAGTGGTGACGCGGACAAGCGAGGTCCGACCAGAGCTTTTACAGGGGACCTTTAAGTGCTTAGAATGTGGAAATGTCATAAAGAATGTTGAACAACAATTTAAGTACACGGAGGTGTGTGCTTGCGAGTCAATATTTTGTTATTATTTGCACGTCACAATTCGTAATTCATATTATCTTTCAAATATTGTCGTGTATCACTTGGGTAATTATTGGTTGACACATATTGATCATTCTTTGTTTGAATTATAGCCAACAATATGTATGAACCCAACCTGTTCGAATAGAACAAAGTGGGCATTACTTCGGCAAGAGAGCAAATTCGCTGATTGGCAGAGGGTGCGAATGCAAGAGACTTCGAAGGAGATACCGGCTGGCTCTCTTCCACGATCTTTGGATGTTATTCTCCGCCATGAGATGGTTGAACGTGCTAGGGCTGGAGACACGTAAGAACAGCCGCCTTGTCTTTCATATCTTGTCCTTTAATGGTTCTTGTTGTTTATATGGTTAAGTTCCAACATTACTTAGCACCAGGGGAGTCCAAAAAGTTTTACAGGAAGGCGCATAATTTTACCTTCTAATTTTGTGTGTTTAATCTTTCAATTTTAAAGATTTAAGAGAGCAAATCGGCGAAATTTAAATCTTAATTTTTTAACCTAAGACATTCCAAGAGTAACTTTCCCCCTCCTTCCTTATGACTCTTAAGAATGACAACTCTCAACTTTCTCACATCCTCTTTAGTTCAACCTCATGCAGGATTACAAAAGCATGGCACTGCAACTTACATATAGTTGTAATTGTGTCTAAGCCTTTTCTATTATACATGCACACAGGGTCATCTTCACGGGTACAGTAGTTGTCATTCCAGATATATTAGCATTAGCCTCTCCAGGAGAAAGAGCAGAATGTCGTCGAGAAGCTTCAGAGCAAAAAAACTCCGCGGTTGGACATGAAGGGATGAGGGGGCTACGAGCACTGGGAGTGAGGGACCTGTCTTATCGTCTAGCCTTTATTGCAAATTCAGTCCAGGCGAGCACTTGATCCTCTTTAATTAGCAATCATTAACTTTCATTAGGAGCTTTATATTATGTAACTCTTATCATTGCTTTATTCAGGTTTCAGATGGCAGAAGGGATTTTGATATCAGAAATAGGAAAAAGGATGCTGATGAAGACAACCAGCGTTTTACCGTCAGTTTCACAATATCTGGGCATTTTACTTAAAAGAATTTATAATTATATAAGAACTATTAGGATGAAGATGACCTCTTATTCAACTTTATCCTCGGAGATAGCTTATGCACTAAACTGACTATAATTCAAACACATGTAGGTGCACTAAATCTTTTCTTTTCTGGGTCAAATTATCTCCCATAAATCATAGTTAAAAAAATTATTTTTATAGTGTATCATCGAGGCTGTACAGTCTCCTCATTTGATTTGATTGGTTATTGGAGTGTGTTAATTTGTACCATAGGTCATTTGCACTAAAATAGAACTAAAATGTTTTACATTCTCCAGCATATGATGCCCAATAATTTCCTAAATTTTGATTTAAATAACAAAACCTTCAGGCTGAAGAGCTTGATGAAGTTCAAAGAATGAGGAATACACCCGACTTCTTCAACAGACTTATTGATAGCATTGCACCAGCAGTCTTCGGTCATCAAGATATCAAGCGAGCAATCCTGCTAATGCTGTTAGGTGGTGTCCACAAATTAACTCATGAAGGCATTAACCTTCGAGGCGACATCAATGTCTGTATAGTAGGAGATCCAAGCTGTGCGAAGTCTCAGTTTCTTAAGTAAGTTTCTGTGTTTTTTACCCACTCTGTTCTGGTTCTAAGTTTAAACTTTAAACAGTTCAACAATTCATGTAGTGTATACATGTGGTACAAGTGATTCAGAAATTTGTGTTTGGTATTTTGGTATATGGACTTTTAGGTGAATAGTCCATATACAAAATGGAGCTCTTACAGAAGTCCAATAGTTGAGGGTTTTATTGATTTATAACAACGAATGTCCATACTGGCTTTTATGCACTAATTGCATAAACGCTGTTTTAAAAAGTGAAGCACAAAATAGGTTGTAGGTGCTTCGCCCCACTACAAGGGCCCACACACCTTACAAGATTTAAGCCTTTTTTTACTTTCCTGTAAATGGAAAGAAAATGTCTTGGCTGCAATTTCCCTTTCAAGTAATCTCTTAAAAAGCCATCTAAGGACTAAGGTATCCTTCTCTGTATGGATATTTACTGTTTTGATTATATGTGCGCTTAAAAAAAACCTTCATTTTCTATTTGCACTTTGAGTCCTCATAGGATTATTGTGCTTTAGTGTACTTCATGCCTTAAAAATGTTCTACATGATAGCATTGTTTGATCTTACAACATTTGATTTTGAGAGGCTTAAATGAAGTATAAATCCACGACCTCATAGGCATCTTGGTGCATAGCTTGCTCCTTTGTCAGTTGACAAATCCATTATTCAGTTTCTAGAAACCTTTTCTTTTTACTCCTCCAAAGTCAAAACTTTACAACTCAATAAGCATCCATATTTTATATACATATATTTTTCCCATTCAAAAATTTTATTAAGCATACCTTTATTCATGTCTTCTTTTTACAGGTATACTTCAGGTATTGTGCCAAGATCAGTTTACACATCTGGAAAGTCCTCTTCTGCTGCTGGATTGACTGCAACTGTAGCCAAAGAACCAGAAACTGGAGAGTTTTGCATTGAGGTAGCCTTTTATTTAATATTTATCTTGTCATTCATACAGAAAAGCTTAGTATTTCATTTCTATTTTTGGTCAGTGTATGTGGTACCTATAGTGGGCTGACTATAGGCAGGAGAGGGCATTCTTTCTAATGTTTAAAATTCATCCCATCCATCTCATAGTTTTTTTCTTAAAAAAATTATTTTTACGACAATCCATCTCAATGTGTTGGCTGTATTCATATAGAGTGCTTATGGTACTCTTTGCACAAACTTCCAGCTAATGCACGTATCACCATTTGTGTGGAGTGAAATAAATTTTTGTTGTTTACTTGATGCTTTCTAATTGTGTTGCAGGCCGGTGCGTTGATGCTTGCTGACAATGGAATTTGCTGTATTGATGAATTTGACAAAATGGACATCAGGGATCAGGTAACTTGTGGCTATATTTTATCAATGTTGTAACTCTGCATCGCATGCATTTTCTTTGCTAATCTGACTTGCAACCACCGTGAGTTGCCCTAATCATCATTTGAGCCAATGAAAAAATTAAAAGGTCTAAAGGGAATGAGTTTAAACCATGGTGGCTACTTACATATTCTACGGGTTTCCTTGGTAACCAAATGGAATAGGGTCAAGTAGTTGTGTGAGAGTAGGTCAAGGTCAAGGTATGCGCAAGCTAACTTGGACACTCGCAGGGATAAAAATAAAAATAAAAAAAGAAAGAAAAAAAATCTGACTTGCAAATGCTATTCAGGTTGCAATTCATGAAGCTATGGAGCAGCAGACCATAAGCATAACAAAAGCAGGAATACAGGCAACACTAAATGCTAGGACATCAATCCTTGCTGCTGCAAATCCAACAGGAGGGCGCTATGACAAGTCTAAACCACTCAAGGTGAGGATGTTTAGCACCTGTCATTGAAATTTCATGGACAGGGTAGAGTTCTAGATAAATACGTTCACACGTCATATGGCTTCTGTTGGTATGGAATTCTCAACTGGGAGCTGGGATTCTTGATGAAAACTGAAATTGTCAGTGTGTAATTTTTACAATAGATTCCTAATTTGAACTTCCTGTGATTATATAACCAATACAATATATTCCTGATTTGATTGAATTATTTAAATAGTCATATTATTCGCCCATCTCATGAATGTGCTTTTGTTCTTGTTACAGTATAATGTTGCTCTGCCTCCTGCTATTCTTTCAAGGTTTGACCTTGTGTACGTGATGATAGATGACCCAGATGATCAAACTGATTACCACATTGCACACCACATTGTGAGAGTGCATCAGAAGCATGAAGATGCCCTTTCTCCTGCATTCACTACTGCTGAGTTGAAGCGTTATATTGCATATGCCAAAACTCTAAAACCAAAGGTCTTTCTATATGCACTATTTTTCGTTTATCTTGGTGCTTGTTTTTTATCTATTGAACTGCCTTTGATGGAGTTTAAATACTGCAGTTAAGTTTGGAAGCCAGAAAGATGTTGGTGGACTCTTATGTTGCTCTTCGCAGAGGAGATACTACTCCCGGAAGTAGGGTTGCCTATCGTATGACAGTCAGGCAGCTCGAGGCATTAATAAGGCTGTCCGAAGCAACTGCTCGGAGTCATTTGGAAACTCTGGTGAGTCCATTTCAGACATTATGCTTAAATTAGTTAGCAATTTTGGAACTTTACTTAAGAACTACTTTTACAGGTTCAACCGCGCCATGTGCGTTTAGCAGTGACGTTACTGAAAACATCAATAATCAGGCAAGAAATCAGAAAAAAACTTCGAAGATTTCCTGTCAATGCACACACTTCTCTCTAACTTTTTGGATGGCTTTTTATATTGTAATTCTTTCCTTGTTTCTCAAAAACAATAAAACAACCTTGCAGTGTGGAATCTAGCGAGATTGACCTATCTGCATTTCAAGAAGAAACTAATGGTGGTGTACATGGTGACAATAATGTTGACAATGGGCCAAAAGAGGTTGATGACGAACCTAGGAATGGTGCAACAGAGCCAACTTCTGGAAATGGTGGTGACATTTTGATGACTATATTCACCGTAATCCTTGCAACTTTCCTATAGATAAACCTTATTGTGTGGATTGGATTATGATGGTGCAGAAACAGGTTCTGGAAGTCGACGTGTGAAAAGACTTGGCTTGAGTTATGAATATTTTCAGAGGGTTGCCCAAGCCCTTGTCATGCGCCTGAGGCAGCACGAAGAATCTGTAATGAAAGAAGGTATTCGGCCCTTCATTTCAATATGTTAAAGGGAAAGCTTTAGGTATCTTGATTGTCAAATGGATAATCCGTTGGGATATTAGTTAAATTTATTATAGTCCTGTATATCTGTTTGCTAATGATCGGGTTTTGGATTGAAAACACAGATTTGAAGGATTGGCCAACAGTGTCCAGCAATATTAGTTATGTTTTTACTGTTATAATCAATGTTAAATATTGCTTGTGCTTCAGGAACTGGGCTGGCAGGAATGAGGCAGAGAGACTTAATTCAATGGTATGTGTCTCAGCAGAACGAGAGAAATGGCTATAGCTCCTCGGAGGAGGTAGCAAAAGAAGTTATAAATATTAAAGCTATTATCCAGGTAAACACGTATCTGTGTTTTACTCAATCTCATTCTTGACATGATTGGTGCCAATAGCTCACATGACATTGCCTGGTCTTCAGAGGTTGATAGTAGTGGAAGGCCATTTGATAGTGGTCGATGATGGGAGGCCAGTAGATGGCGATGTTGCAGGCCAACAATCGTTAGTAAATAACAGGATTTTAGCAGTGGCTCCTAATTATGTCGTAGATTGAAGACATCCGCCCTTAAAGTGAGAATCTCCAGGTTTCTTTGTCAATGGAATGTGGACAATTCATCATACGTGTGGAAGTTGATCGTCTAGGATCACAAGAAGGTAACGGTGGATTCATGATGATGACCTGAATTGACATCCGTAGTCATAATTACTGACGGTGCTTTAGGCTGGGTGCTGTAGAGGTAAATTCTTTCGTGTTGATTTGACAATGCACGAGGTTAGTTTTTAAATATTTTATATGTAATTTGATATAGGTTAGGTTGAGTGCTTGATGGATGCTATTACATTGTCATGTATCATTATAACTAACATAATTAAGGTTTTGCGGTTGTATAAGCGAGCTGCTATTTTGAAGTTATAAATTCTGAATGCGCAATGGAATGGCTAGTGTTGTATGTGTCGAATGTTCACATAAAAGTTGTTCATTCTTTCTTTTAGGGGATGTGTATAAACCCCACCCAACTGCCAATATTTTTATTTATTCTTCAACAGATTGCTTCCTGGTACAACTCAACTACACTAAAACAGAGCTATATTTGGAGTGGGAGAGAATGCGCAGTTGTGGGAGAGTTGGATAACGGTATATGTGGTTAAGTATTTTCCTACAATGAATAAACCAAACAAAATTAATTTAGGTATATACAGGGTAACTGTTAATAAAAAATAAAGAAAATTAACTGAAAAGGAAAAATGACAAAATGGGTAGAATATATATATTTTCTTTTGTTGACATACATAGTGTTAGAATAGTGTTATATATATTTTATTTTGTTTTGTCAGGGATTACTATCTTGAAAGTAATTTCAACCAGAAAAATTCCCCAAGGTTACAAATAGCTTCAAATTTAGTCGCACTCACCAAAGTCGAATGGAATCGGAGAGTATGCCTATAAAAATTTGTTAAATATTTAGAATTTCATCCGCGAATAAGAACTCGATTTAGTTTGAAAGTGAAAAAATAAAATGTTTTAATTGAATTAATTAATTAAACATTACAAAATAAAATTAATTAATTAATTAAAATGTTAAACAATTAATTTAACGTTCAAATAATTAATTGAAAATAAAAATAAATTTTTTTTTTCATTAAAACTTTTAAAATAAGCAATAATAAAAATATAACTTATTTTTACTTCGTAAATATACATTTTTCTTTTGTCGTATAAACAATTAATTTAAAGTTCAAATAATTAATATAACGTCTTAGACGGATATTTGCGGTTAGATGTCGGTAAATCTTTTTTATGTTTAGATTATTGAAGTCTATCATGTGTAATTATTGTTATAGTCAAAGTGGCCCTACCATGTAATTTTCAAACAAAAAAAAATAATAACTTACAATAATCTTGTATAATGGTACTAAATCATATTTCTCACTAGTTACAACATTTCACGCAGATAATTTATACTTTATCAAGATAATAAAAAATATTTTTTAAATCAAGATAATTTTACAATATTTTTTAAATCTATCATAAAAAATATTTTATGACATTTACTTTTTTTAATATTAAATATTAACTATCTTGTAAATATATAGTAACCCCAATATCATATACAAATTATCAAGTGTAAACATATTTTAACCGATCAGGACGTTATTTAACATCTTTGAAGAAAAAATAAATAAATGAGATAAAATTTTCCGCAAGAACTCAGTCAGAAAAATTAGTGGAGAAACTTTGCAATTCGTGGAATTAAGTGATGGGTGGGAATGGGGCCTCTTTCTTAATAATGTTTTTTTTAACTTATTTTTAAAATAATACTGATCTAAATAAAATTAAATAAAAAATATATTTTTTCCAATTTATTCCAAAAATAATATCTTTGAAATTATTCCTGCACTTGGGACGACGGTCAAGAGACCATCACACATGACACTTTCTTGGCACCACGTCTTTTTTTTTTAAATCAAGACGTAGTCGTCTCTTAGATATGACCCCGTATTAGCACGCATTTGTGGTCGTCAAGGGATGACTATATGGACATTATTTTTTAGGAAAAAAATAAAATAGTATTATGTATTATATATTATACAGTAGCGGTAATTAGTAAATAACTATTTGTAGTGTGGTGGATGTAACACCTACCATATATCCTATCCATAAAAAAAAGTAATATTTAGGTAATTAAGAGACGACCACAAATGTGTGGCAATACAAGAGACGACCATGTCTTGATTTAAAAATAAATTAGACGTGACACTTAAGGTGCCACGTCTGATGGTCGTCTTTAACCATCTCTTTAAGAGACGACAAGTATCAAAATAATTTTAAAAACAATATTTTTGGAATAAGGTGAAAAATCGTATTTTTTAATTAATTTTATTTAAACCATCATTATTTTAAAAATAAGTTAATAAAAAACATTATTAAAAAGATAAAACTCGTGGGAATGGGGATGGGAAGCTTTCCCCAACTTCGTCCGATTAACATCTTACTTTCAATTATACAATATACTTACCTCTCTCCATAACCATTAAAATTTGGGGAGCAGACAACAAAGGAATTTTTTCAGTGAAGAGAGCTTATCATCTAGGGATGCAAAAGCATGACAACCAGATGGCCACCTCCTCTAATTCGCATCAGCAAGCTAAACGTTGGAAGCGACTTTGGAAGACATCTGTAGCCCCAAAAATCAAGATTGCGTGCTTGGAAGTTTGCAAACAATTTAATTCCCCTAAAATCTAACCTTAGCAAAAAAGGAATTGTGACTGATTTTGCTTGTGTTTTTTGCAGGAATTTTGACTTCCAACTTTTCTGGGATTGTCGGTATTGGGGATCACTGGGACTGGCTTCTGGACAACGCAAACACGGAAGAGTTAGAGGTTTCGATGATATGCTCGTGGGTGATTTGGAATTTCAGAAATAACGTGGTGTTCAAAAGGGAGCAGCCTAGACTTTGGTGATGATTCAACAGGCCAAAAAATTCATCTCAGAATTCAATAATAGTCAATTTGCAACTTCAACAGACAACACAAGCAGCAAGACTCATATGTACAGAAGGAATTCTAAGGAAAATTCAAAATGGGTACCACCCCCATTACATACCTGGACTCTAAATACCGACGCCTCTTGGTCTTCTTCTCACCAATTGGGCGGGTTAGGATGGGTGGTGCGAAGCTGGACGGGAGAGGTCATCTACGCCGGAAATAAGGTGGTCGATAACTGCTGGAGCGTGAAAATGCTAGAGATGGAAGCAGTGCTGGAGGGGCTTCGTTGGCTGGAAAATCGACCGACGCCGTTCCCGATCTGTGATTCAATTGAGGTGGCCCAGATTTTGAATGAGCAAGTCGACGATTTTTCCGAAATCCAATGGTTGGTTGACGAAATCAAGAGATTGAAGGAGTTAAAGTGAGTAGGGATGCTAATGTTTGGGCACATTCTGTTCTGTTGCGAGGAGGGTTTTGGAGGAAAAGGAAAGTGAGAGTTGGGACCGTTGTTTTCCCAGTTGGCTAACTTGCTTGGCCAATCAGGACTTTTGCTCTTTTTAATAAAGTATTTTCTTCTTAAAAAAAAATTTAGGGTAAAGTACAATTTAGTTCTATAATCTACTACAATCTTTGTAGGGAAAAAAAAAGTGTTTTTGCCCAAAAAAAAAAAAAGTTAATAACCATTTACTAAAAAATTACGAAAAAAAGGAAAAGAAAAAGCTCTATTTTCTTTATCATTTTCTACACTATTATCTCTTATTTACTTGAAATAGAAATATAGTAGTGGACAACACGTATCGTTAACGAGAATGAAAATCGAATCACTGCACAACACTTGGTGGAATGGATTCATGGTCACTGCAAAGATATATATATAATGAGGAAATACTGGCACGACAACAGTTTGGTTCTTCGCAGGGGCAAGTGAGGCGAAGCCGGAGGCAAGTAGGAATTCAGTTTTCTATTTCTAGGGTTTAACTTCCTTTTCATTTACTTTGTTTATTCGGCACGATTGAATCAGTTCTGCTTCTGCGTAGTTAGATGCTATTACAGGTCACCGATCTCTACTCATGCATCTCTCATACTATAAGCCTAAATTCTTCTGCTGCAACATAATTAATTTACGACCCTTCGTGCTTACTCGCCTTTCCTCCTTCCCCAATCTTAATGTTCAGCAATTTTCTACATAATCAAGACTTAATATTTGGACTCTTCAGTCAATCAACCCTCCGAGTCTGTTCTTTTGACATTTTTTTTATCCGAACTACTCTCTTCCCTGATAATTAAGTACGTAACGAAATTTAACGAAATATTATCAAGCATAAAAGAGAAATGAATCGCTTCTCATTCTCTTTTGGAACCCTATCAAACAATTCCATTCACTCCACATTATTCCTTCAGAGTCACATAAATTGTAACCTTCTTTTCCTCCTACAGAGTCATTATTTTGTTGATACTGGCCCCTTTTGTAGCCTTCATATTGTCTTTTTGTTCATAAATTGAATTTAGGATATATCATATTAAATTTTAGATTGACTTTCGGGTGTGGAACGTTAACGACATCTCACCAGATTAATCAAGAATCACCCTTTATGCTTATTTGCCACTGACTGGCTCAGCAGATATGTCGTATAAATTATTTTAACTTCTAATAATTTTCTTCCTTGTACCAGGAGATATATACGATAATATCCAGTCTTTTATTTTCCGTAATGATTCACTTGCTTGTTGTCTTGTCAGATGGAACCAGTTATTTCTTCAATTCCATATTTTATTGATTCTAGACAAGGAAATGACATGGGTGATGCTACAGAAGCGGAGGGTTTTATGACTCGTGTTGATGAGATCATAGTTCAGGTTGATAAGGTGAGACCTCTTATTACATAAAACTTTGTTAACCAATAGTGACAGGGAATTATTTTCTCTGTGTCCCTTACTCAATGTCATATACTCATCTATCATTCTTTCTTTCCTTATTATTATTATTATTATTTTTGCATGTGCGAGTGTGGATAAGAATCAAAAGAAAGTGCATTAGCTGTAGAAAAGGAAATACTAGATAGGAGAAGAAAACACCTCAAAATAGAACCCCCACAACTTGACATCCAATCTTGAATAATTAAAAACAAAAAGGAAGGAAGCTACTAAAACAGATGCATAAAGACACAAAGTCAAGATGTGAACTATTTGCCAGACACTAGTATGTATGATCCTCAAAGCTTCTATTCTTCCGTATGTCAAGATACACACAATGATGATCATCGAGATATCATATACATGAAAACGGTTTTACTTCATATTTTTGAGCTGGATGCTACTTAACTCCTCCAGCCTTCTAGAAATGATCAGCATGAGGAGTGCCTGTTCAAAAGTTCAATACAATCTAAAATATAAAACGAGTTATAGTAGTGAAACAGAAAATTTCAATGCAAAAAAGTTAATGATCCAGGAAATGTAAAAACTAGTAACTAATAACTAATAGAAAGCTCACTGATTTTGATAATGTTTGCTACAATTTTCAGTTTTGTAAAAACTAGTAGCTAATAGGAAAAAAAAAGAGTTGATTATGATAGCGTTTTGTTTATTTTATATACCAACACAATATAAGTCTCATCTATCACAATCCTAGTCACTTGAGTCCTTGACTTTCCAAAGTAGTGTAAAAGAAGTGTTAAAATCATTACTATTTGGCTGGGACTTGTTTGTTGAGACATTTTGAATTGTTTGTTGTATAAAGGTCGTGTAAAATTTTATTTATATTGTCTTTTAAATCATGTCATCATTGTTGAAAGACTCCAAAGAAAGCAATTTTGGACTATGTAATGTAGGCTAACTCTCCTCAACCTGTGATAAATGTCAATCCTTTTAACAATTATAGTTTAAATCCTCCTATATCCAATTGGTAACTTCATTGGATAGGTTTATCCTTTCGTAAATTTAAAATAAGTAGGCTTATGAGCTTACTTGTAATTGTTTTAACTCTTATTTTGTTCGTTATTAGTATTACTTTTACCTAGGGTTATCTTCATTCTACCTAAAGGGTGACTATTGTAATTTAATTCTCTTTTCTTTAGCCCTAAGCTATTTATAAAGGTGGGCTTCCTTTTTGTGCAAATTCTTTTGAAATCAATAAAAATTCTTTTTGGCTTAAGCTCCAGCACTATGTGCCTTATTAATATTAATAGAATTTGATCTCGTATTCTTAAAAAATTGTGAGTGTCAAATTTATTTTAATATTAGAACAAATTTAGATATCTTAGGCATGAACATCTACCTTTTAATCTTGTAGAACTTTTCTACTCAGATAATCTTTTAGCACTAAGTTAAACATGCAGCTTGAGAAGAGAGTGATTGAAATCGAACAATTCTACTTGGCTAGAGGTGATGCTCATCAGAACATTTCGAAAGGCAGTTCAACTTTGAAGGATAAAGACAAGGAGAAGCATATAACTGGTATCAGGAAGCAACAACAAGATGCCTCACGTAGAGAAGGGGCGGCAGCAAAGAGAATGCAAGAGCTTATGCGCCAGTTCGCTACAATTTTCCGTCAGGTGTGTTTGAATTCTTTTATTTATTTATGGTTCTCAGCTTGTGATCTAAACATAAGTGTTTTATTATGGAGGGAAAAACTACCAAATGATTAAAAGCAAGGCTTATTCATCAATTATCATAAGAAGCCTAATCTACAATGTTCTTTTACATATTAATGGTAGGTTGGTGGTGGTACAAAACCCTGACCATATTTTTTATCCTAAAATCTAAACCCATTAGATGGTAAAATAAAGAAAAGAGAGGAAAGAGAGTCCGTTGATTAGTGTTACCTATTATGAGGTATCTATTAATGTTATTTTTTTTACTGTAACGTACTATGTATCATTTGATAATTCAATAAATTCATTATAGTATCCCTAGTTCAAATCAAATTTTAAAATTAGGAATTTCAAAGAACTTGAGAAATCTTAGCAACATGATCACATGATTCATATTTCTCTCGATCAGATATCACAAGCCCCTTAATGTACTAATAGAATTTTATTTAGTTATTTTAATATAAAATCAAATATATAAGTTCATTGAATTTGTTCCAATTTTCGCTCTTCACCGCTTTCATTGTAGAAACAAAACAAAACAACAAGGAGAGATTCAAGGATTCTTGTTTTGGATTTTGTTGTAGGTGTAGATTTTATAAAGCATCGATGACTACATAAAGAACTTCACTTTCAGACAGAGTTTAAGACTATGCTATTCGAGGCTTAATTTATTTTTATGTGATGCTGAAAATTTTTAATGCTCTTTTGCTCATTCTTTCAAACCTGATGCTTAAATGCCCACTTGCCCATCTAGTTAGTAATTCCTTCTCTACGTTCATTTTAGCTCTGTATATTTTCCCTTATTCTAAACAAAAGGGGAAAACTGATGTTTAGGTAGAAGAGATTTTTAGCAATTTGACATGGAAGAGTTTATGCAACTACTCACATGGATATGGTTTTTACCTCTTTTCCAAGGGTTAAAATCTGTGATTTTTTTCTTCATATCTGGAGAATATTTCATAGTCCTGTTTTAACGCTTAAATATCAATAATTTTGCTTAACTTGTTTTTTGACAGATCACTCAACACAAGTGGGCATGGCCCTTTATGGATCCCGTTGATGTTGAAGGTCTTGGCTTACACGACTATTACGAGGTATAGTATCCTCTCCTTTGGTTGTAGAGGATATATCTTGATATTCTTCAATACCGTGTATACATGTTGGTACATATTACTGTTTTTCATTCAACCCCTACTGATAAAAAATAGAATCCTCTTTCTAATGGAATTAAATTCTTTTCTCCCTTTCACTCCTCCGAGAGTTTGTATCGTTGAACAACTTTTGTTACTTTTCGTATGTCAATGAAATGAAAGAAGATGATGTTTTGACGATAGAAGGCTTTTTGTTCCGTTTGTTTCTTTTCTCCTATATTGGACAAGGTGACAAGCAACCTGTTTCCTTTTTACAAGTATATGTTCTGATGGTTTGTTGTGACGATGGAAGATGATGTTTCTGAATTAAGAGGGGTAGAAGCTTGTGGTAGTTAAACATGCAAATAGATGCTCAAAATAAGATCCTTAAAGATAAAGTTGGAAGAGAATACTCTAATATGGCCAAAAATGATGAAATTCCCCCAAGAATTTGGTGGGTTCCCTACCCCTGTTGGGATGGAGCAACAAAAGTTTTGACTTTGAGAATTAAAGGTCACGGTGAGATGAGCCGTATTTCATCACGATAGGTGTCAAGTGGAAGTGCAGTGATGTATGCAGCTGAGGCATCCTAACAGACCGGTAGACTTGAACCTTGTTCCTACATGACCCGATCAATTAGATTAGGCACTTGACATCTATTCTCATTGTTCAACTCTTATCGCAAACCTTCTTTTTCTAAGAAGTGACAAAATTTTCATCTAAAGGAGAATGAAATCTTTTGGAAGATTGAAGAAATTTCATGCTTTCCTATTTGGCATATGGAGAGTTCGTTTAGCTTGAAGAGTAGTTTTGGTTGTTTGTCTTGTCAAGATATTGACATTTTGTTATTATTATCTTGTTAATCTGGAGGGTTTTTCTCTTTTTTTTTTTAATACTAAATTTGGCCCTTTAGTCATTTTTCCAACCCTTTCGGAGTTTGTATCCTTGAATTCGTAACACTCTAGCCACCCCTTTCTCTTGTCTTAAAATTTTTTTTGGTTTCTTTCAAACCAAATTCTGATAATAAGGCTTTAACTGCATTCATCTGAATTAACGGGCTTTCGGGGAGTGAAATGGACAGAATAATAGCATTTGCAAATTAACCTTAGACTCTTTTGAAAAAAATCCAACGAAGGTTGAAGGTATGGAATTGTAACCACCAACAACTTAACATATATGAACATTGAAAAAATATATGGCTTTGACTTTCACTATTGGAGGAGCATAGAGCACAATTTGAAGGCTGTAACATCTCTTTCATACTCTTCCAGACACAATCTGAGGGGTTGTTTTTTTGTGGCAGGCTTGTTTTTTGGCCACTTTGTGGGGTATTTGGCTGGAGAGGAGGAACAATAGCATTTTTAGGGGTTGGAGAATTCTGTGGATTATGTTTGGGAGTTTATTAGGTTTAATACTTCTTTATGGGCTTGGTCTCTAAGGCCTTTTGTAGTTATCAGCTATGTGTCATTCATATGGATTGGAGCCCTTTTCTTTAGGGGGCGTCCTCACTTCGGGCTGTTTTTTTTAAAGCCCTTTTTGTTCTTCTTGTTTCTCTTTTCATTTTTCTCAATGATGTTTCTTATAAAAAAAAACATCTCTCTCATACTCTTCCAGACTCACGGAAGGAAAAGAAAATAGGAAAAAATTAAAGATATTAGAGAAAAAAGTGCCATACAAATTTAGGTGCTGGGAGTCTGGAAAGAGAACCAAGGTGATGCAATATAAGCATGTGGCACGATAAAGCTGATTGGAAAAGGAAGTCAAAGTTGTCTTGTGCTTTCCTTTTCTTGGTATTTTCTTTCTATTTTCTTTTGTTTCGGGTGCTTTCTGGATCCTATTGGCTTGTGCTTTCCTTTTTTTTATTGGCCTCTTGTATTCTTTTCTCAATGAAAGTTGTCGTTTAAAAAAAAAAAAAATATATATATATATATAGAAAGGGAACCTTAACTCGAATCATTATTATCACATGTATTCATCTATTGTTTTTCTCTTTGCTTCCACAGCTGCCTTAACTATCTTTTGGATATCATGATGCCCAGGAGGAGGAGGAGGCATAGTTCATTCTGTGCTTCCGCTTCTCTTTCTTAACCATCTTTTGAGTCTGTTGCCAACAACTATATACATACTGATACAGCGGAGCAGTAATCTGTCCATGCTTATTAGATTCTTGCTTTGAAATTATTAGTTATTTTACAGATGCTGCTGTTATTTAGTTAGGTAGGACGGCTGCTTTCATCTAACTGATATCCCCAGTACTTGATGCACTTTTTACAGCTTTATGAGTGGAATTTCACATATAGCTTTCATTATTCATCTTTTTTTGATGATATATCTACTGCGTGCTCCTTCAATTGCTACTGGTTTAGGTTATTGACAAACCAATGGATTTTAGAACAATTAAAATCAAAATGGAAGCTAAAGATGGTTCTGGGTACAAGAATGTCCGTGAGATATATGCTGACGTGAGATTGGTTTTTAAGAATGCAATGAGATATAACGATGAGAAGAATGATGTCCATGTGATGGCAAAAACCTTACTGGATAAATTTGAAGAGAAGTGGCTGCAGCTTTTGCCCAAAGTTGCTGAAGAGGTAACTTTGGCGACCTTTAACCCACATTCTTTAGTTAACATATATGTTTTCTACTGTTTTGAGCTTTCAACATCAAATGTGGTTGCCATTTAAGAAGAATGTCCACACTTTTCTAGGAAAAAAGACAAGTGGAGGAGGAAGCTGAGTTACAGTTTGATATGCAGCTTGCACAGGAGGCAACTTATGCTAACATGGCAAGAGAGATAAGCAATGAGGTTAAGCATGATTAAGTTCATTTGTTTATTTCCTTTTGGCTAAATTACTTCTTAAATATTGGGTTTTCAGAATGGGTTTTATTTGATCTTTTAAAAAACAAATTTTGACAAGTGGAGGAGGAAGCTGAAAAGTTCGTATCTTGTTTTTAAAAAAAAGGCAATACTAATTTACTTTAAATTAATTAAAACAAATGCATAACTAGCAATGATTAAATAAACTAATTAAATTAAACAGCAAACAAGTCTTTATTAAATTAAATTAATCTTTTTAGATAAAGAGAATTTTATTATATAAATGACAAAAGGATACGAAGTTAGAGAATAATTAAAAAAATTTGATGTAATACACCGAGAAGAAGTTGGAAGACGATGGAATCTGAAATTTCAAAAGCTAAACAGTCTTAGTAGTTTAAAATTCTTCTGGTGCTCTAGCCAAATTTGTCATAGGAGGGATCCACACGTGTTAATCCGGATAACTTTTCTCTGCCCACCAAACTTTTGGCCAGTGAAGAACCCAACTACCTGCTGCCTGATAGACCTGAGGAATGGAAGCTGAAGTGGAAAGCAATCCACAGAATTGGGCCCAAAGGCTGGCTCACTGGGATGGACAGAATAGGAATAGATGGCCAGCGGTCTCCAAATTTCTTCTACAGATGATGCACGCACCATTTTGAATTAATGTAGAAGCTAGGGTTTCTTTTATGGATTTTATCATTAGTATTATTTTTTTACCAAGAAACAACTTTTCATTGATATATGAAAAGGAAAAATGTTCAAGATATGAATTCCGAAAGGGGTGAAAAAAGAAGAAGAGAAAAATAACATAGAGTTAGCTCAACAAGAGCCATACAAACTTAGAGAAGATAAAAAACACTCTAAACCAGAACTTAGAAAGCTGTTTGCTACAAAGCTTGGAAAACCAAAAGCGCCACAAACGTTTGAGGGATAAAAATCTAACCATAAGCGAAGATCAAACTCCAAAAAGAACCAAGTAGAAGCTAGGTACTCATGAAAGAATCTATAAAAAACCTTGGAGGAACTAAACCACAACCAGTCGAAATGCTAAAACGGAGCGAGAAAATGCCATCTCCACAAAGTCTATCAAGGAGTAATCTGTTAGGAACCCGAATATACTAAACCAAACTAATAAACTATATTGTAATATCTAAAGAGAAATTACAATATCGATAGTCTTTCGAGAGGACTATCTCTCTTCCAAGAACTCTCTCAAGTTCCTCACCTTAACTATTCTCCAAGATACCCTCCTTCTCCCGTACTACTCTTATTTATATCCATCTTACCCCAACTAATTACAATACTACCCCTTCATACTAACAAAGTGATAATATTCTCCTATACCCCTAATAGGACTCTCACATAATCACAAAAAATGAAGTCTCAATGCCAACTTCAAAATAACCTCCAATAATAAGCCACCATATGCCAACCCACAAATTGAAAGGTCTGCTAAAAAGAATCTTTGAAATCGTCACCAACCAACCAATTTGAAATTGCAATTCTTAAAAAAAAACTCAAAAGTCGTAAGTGTGAACCTTTCAACTTTTGGATACAACTTAAAACTCATAGGACCCAATTGACTACTTAAAATATCTTAAAAATTAGAGGTTCTTTATCAAAAGGGACAAGAGTAATCCCCATTTCTTCAAAAAAGGAGGAATGATTGTTTGCTTTGGAACATCTGACTTCTCATCTTCTTTTTGCTCATCAAATAGGATCCAAAAATCTTCCTCGAAGGATTGCTTAGAAATATTCTCAAAAGGAAGGTTCGACTTTGGGGAAGAGTCCAAACTACATACTAATTGCTCCATCATTGTCTTCAAAATCATTATCTGAGAATTCGAGGGAGGATGTCCTATGAGTCAAAGCCTGGAGTGAATTGAAACAAAGGAAATAACATTTAGCTTGTCTGAACTAACTTTACTAACTACTTCTCCGTTCCTCATTAAAAGCCTTATTCAAGTTCACTTGTACTCCTTCAACTATCAAAGGCTTTGCAAGCTCCTTTCCAAAAGAAGCATTAGGCTTCCTTCGAGAGAAGTAAAGAGGAAGGGACTGAATGAGTCTTTTGGTATGGTATTCTTTATACCAGGTGGAAATGGGTTGCCTTTTGACTTTCAATTCATAATATCTTCTACATTTATTTCTTGGAAAATAGTAGGATGAATAATGTCTATATCCTTATTAATGTCCACGACTTTTATGACCAGAGGAGTGCTCAATGACCTGTCAGAATTTTGTCTAAATTTGAGGCATCTGGAGTGTTTTTGAGTAGAAAATGGTCTTTTGCAAGCCACTTTGCCAGACTATCCTTATTAAGAAACTGTTTGCCAAACTGAGACTCTTCATCGGCCAAAACTTCTTGCAATCTTTAAATGTCCAACGAGTTAGGAGAATCTGCAATCGATGAAGTCTTAGAGAGTTGTATGGAGGAAGATGACGACCTGGTAGCTTCATTTATGGCAACCACTTGTACCACAAACACTCTGCATTTTGTAGTTATCTCAATATAAGTCGGAATAAAGCCACAAACATTCTTCTCAATTTGAATTAAAGCTGCTAAACATGTTTAGTATTTTTTAAGAGACTTCCTTCAAACCTCCAAGATGAGTTCCAATGGCCTTAAAGCATTGCATATTCAAGTCACATATTTTCACCCATCCTCCAAAACAAACCATCAGTTCATTCTTGCCATGTTCTTCAAGATTCTATTTTTCCATTTTCACGTAAAATCCATCTATCTTGCACCATTTGGCATTGAGCCAATCAAAGTTCAAAAGTCTTCCATTCTCGAATCTAAATAAAGCCTTATTTGCCCGGAAGGGGTTGAATTGACAATGATTTTATCATTAGTATTTAGGCTCCAAAACTTAAAGGCCAAAAGAAAAGTTATCCTGTAGTGACATAGCAGTTCTCCTAATCGACTACAACTCATCATAATGAACATTCTGCATAAAAACTATTAAAAAAAACGACTCGCCAGGTGGTTACCTTTCTTTTAATACTTTTGGAGATAGATGAGTTCCAATGATTCATATAAAATGAGGAAGGAAGGACTTCTTCCAAATGAATTTCTTGTGAATGGATTACAAAATCTGTATCTTTCTGAATCATTTTTTATTTATTTATCTGGATAGGAGAAGAAAGATTGTATTGATATGAGAATTTTATTGTAGTATAGGAAAAGGATGGGAAATAATAATGTTAAGAATATGAACAATTTAACCATAATTATAAAAATCACAAGAAACTGCTTGTTTGGAGTGCATAGATGCAAGAGTAATCCTTAAAGTTAAGTAGTCTAGATACTTTACGTTTTTTACCAGAAAAAAGTTAAAAGGTAAAATGAACTGAAAAAGTAATTTCAGTCAATAACTTGATAATGTAATCACAACAAAAAAAGAGGTGGTTCATTACTCATGGTATGAAAAGAGGTGGTTACTCATCCTATAACAAGGGACCAGAAAGCTCTCCTTTACTGCAGCATGACAAATAATTCTTCAAACTCCATATTCCAAAGGAAAATATGAGTTTTAGAATGAAATTCTTTAAACCGAGGCGAGATGGAATAAAAGGAGAAATGGAGAGATCAGATTAGTGAAACATTAAATAATATATTGATAAATTGAAGTTGCTAGGATGCTTGCACAAATTTCTCCTATCTAAAGAAACTGAGAGATGGTCATGAATAAGACTCGGAATGGACCAAAGAATTAATCAATTTCCAGATCATTAAAATTTCTTCTGAAAGACAAATTCCAAAAATCATCCCAAAAGCTAAATAAATATTAATGTAAGTGCATCAAACAGTTATAATTAAGGGAAATGCAATGAAGTTCAGGACAAAAATTCTCAAAAGAATAGGAAGCTAGTGAAATATTTCTCGCTTTTTTTTTTCAACTAGAAACACATGATACAAGCCTCCGAAGGAGTGAAAGGAAAAGGAAAGCAAAAGAATCAAAAGACAAGCTCATCGAGGGGCAATACAATCTAATTGAAAAATAAAGAACTATATAAACTTTTTAAACCGATAACCACTATTTAAAAGGTTAAAAAACAACATAGATGAAACTTGGGGTACTGATCTTCCATAGAACACCTTGAAAATGAATCTTCACCAGGCTAGGAGGGCAAAATGAAACCATGAAACCATCGAGACCAGATCGTCAAGGAACACCACCTTGGTAGCTGAAGAGCTCAACATATCACTGAATTCATAAAAAACCACATGAACCCTTTCCACATAGTTGTCTCCTTTTCACAAATCTTAAAACTTTCCAATCACGTTCAAAAAGATTACAAGCATCAACCAAAGCTGGCAATTTTGCATGGGGACCAAAACCCTTTCAAATTTGAAGTTGATGGCTACAGCACTAAATGATTCTAGACTCTCTTTGATCTACTTGTTTGTGTTTTTGTGTGCCCTTATTTGATTCTATAAATGAAATTTTTTTATTATTATTATTACAACATGTGGGAGTGGGGGATCGAACTCATAACCTCTTGATTGGGAATATATGTCAATTACTGCTGAGCTATGCTCACTTTGACGATCCTCTTAATTATTATGCAATATTTCCAGATATCTGAGGCGGATATGAACTTGAAGAGTCTCAGGGAAATGGTTATCCAGAGGTGCAGGTATGTGATAGCACAATATGTCTGTGTCACAAGCCAAATTGGTGTGAAACGTTTTTAAATGCTAGAAGTAGAATAATGGTTGGGAAGGAGTGAAGATTTTTTAATGATAAGAGTAGAGCTTGGGTGGATGGGATACTGTTAAAAATTTCCCCTTAAGCAGGGACTGGCTTAACAATTAGATCGATAGGTTCTAGATGTAATTTTTGGGGTATGACTTTTTGTTTTTTCAATCACTGTTCATTGGAGATTTATCATCATCATCATCATTATGTGTGTAATCTCCTCACTCCTCATTTCATATTCATGTGGATGTGTTCTCTTAGTTGGTTTGTTGAATCAAATACCATATAAAGAAAAAATCGTCAGTATGTATGGACTGTTATATTTATTCACTCTGAATGTATAAGAATGTTTGATAAGATTTTAGAACCTTTTCTTTTTGGTCCATGGGCATGAAACAACTATTGCCACTTAGTTCTCTCGCTTGTGTGGGAATAATGACTATTAGGAAAATGTCCACCGAAGAGAAGAGAAAACTTGGAATAGCTCTCACACGATTGTCGCCTGAAGATCTCACGAAGGCCCTAGAAATAGTTGCTGAGAATAATCCAGACTTTCAAGCAACTGCTCAGGAAGTGGACCTAGACATTGATGCTCAGGTCATCTCTCTTTGTTTTGGTTGTCCTCAATTTCATGTTTTATAATTTTATCTATTTTGTTAGTAAGGAAATGTGGGGAACCTTGCTCATTTTAGGCACATGTTATTTGTCATTGGGGAATTTATTGGGTTATATACCCTTGCAGGACATGGACACGGAAATTTTTAGTACCCCAATTTAATTTTCAGATAAAATTTGGAGTATTCATAAAATCCAATAAACATCCTTTTGTGTAATGATAGGCATAGAAAACTTCTATTGCTTGCATTTGGATTCACGTTTATAAAAAATTAGCCTTCCACGTACCAGCCAATCACAATCTGTTGGTAATTAGAAGAAAATAGGTTATGCTGTAAAAGCATATTTTAACATTTGTAGTGTTCTGAGGAATGTCGTCTCCATTTTCTTTGTGCAGAGCGATTACACTTTGTGGAGGCTGAAAGTTTTCGTTAAAGATGCACTTCCTATAAAAAGCAAGAATGCTGGAGCCATAGAAGGAATCAACAATGATATAATTGATGATAACAAGAAGAATAACTCCAAACGAAGGAGAGAAATTTGCGATGCCCTTGTCAAGTCTGCTATAAAAAGGACTAAAAAAGTTGTCTAATATGCAAGTGTAACCGACTATTGTTGGCACTAATTACGTTCTTTTGATTCAGACGCAGGCAGTCAGCTTGTTGTATGATTGGTTTCAGTCAATGAAATCATTTTGAAAGGTTTTTTTGTAAAGCTTTTATTTTTTATTTTCTGTCTAGTTGGGTTAGCCCAGCTTAGAATTAGATTAACCTGAAAACCAAATAGATAAAATGGGATGCATGAGCGGATTTTGAGGGACCAATTATCTTCACCAACGATAAGAAAAGAGATGGAACAAGAGAAGCACGAAAAAGAAAGGAAATTTTGGGGAGAGGCATTCACGTTTTATTCAAATATTAGACAGCCAGTTTGAAGTGTTGGAATAACCTATCCATTTTAGTTATTTCAAGACAAAGCAGTTCCGTTAATTAGTTAGTAGAGAGTTAGTAGTGGAATTAGTCAATGTGATTGGTTCTGTCTGCCATGTCAATCATGTCTAAATCATTTTGATTGGTTGTTGGGTAATCGTGGGCCTTCATTAGATAAGAATGTGCTTCGTTTTTATTGACATGGCAATGTTGTTTAATACATTTGAGGCTGCTGAAAGAAAGCTTCACGACAACTGCCTCGACCATTTCAACATGGGTCATCATCACTTTCATATACAACCAATAAAAAATGAAAAATAGAAACAAGAAGCAGCCTCTCTTAATATTCCCCGAAATTACCCACTGGATTCTACCCCGTTATCAGCTCCAGGCAGTACTAACCCAAAGCTGTAAATGTCACTTTTTTCACCCACTTCTAATGTGTAAGCATATTCTGTTGCCACAAATTACTCAACTAAACTACAAAGACAGCTCCACTATTTTTGCAGGACCGAATACCCAATACAACACAAGTAAAAATTATCTTAACTAACATGGGAAAGGGAAAGGAAGTTGATGGTGGTATGAATGTCTGTGTTGTGGCGCTCCATCATCTTTTTGTGGTTTATGGAAAGTAAAGCATAGAGTAGAGGGTGGTTAGAAGACGAGGGGGAGGGGGGTATAGTTGAGCAAAATGTTGTTGGACTTGTTGACGTCCCTGTGAATTATGAGGTGCAAACAGTCATGGTGCAAATAGCAAACCCTTTGGCGGCTTCTATAGCTATCTTCAGCCTGGTTCCCCATTTTAGACAACCACCTCTCTTCCCATGTAGCACTTCTCCTAAACTTCCATTGGGCATGTACTCGTAAACCAGCAGATTCGTCTGCTTATTCGAGCATAATGCAAGCAATCTCATGATGTTCCTGTGCAAGCAATCTCTGGTTCAAATGGTTCCAAGACAAGTTGAGATAGTTTAATATGTGAATTTGTGAGGTTTGAACCGGGATTGGCGAAGTTAGGATTTAGGCTCAAATCTAAGTAAGTGAGGGACACACCAATTCAGGAGGGATTGTATCCGAAAAGTTGTTTCTACTCATGTCTAGCTTGAGAAGATTTCGCAGTTTGCCTATTTGGGAGGTAGGAAGAGATCTAGAGAAGCGATTGTTGGAAAGGTTTAGCTGGCCAAGTATGGAGGGGAGCGTGTAGATGTGCTGGGGAAGCCGTCCACTCAGGTAGTTGTTATGCAATTCCATCAGGGCAAGTAAAGCAACCCCTATGGGATTGATCTCGTCAAATAATTCTGACCCATCCGAACTCTTACAAGCGTATCGCATCGCCTTAGATCACGTGGCAGAGCTCCAAACAGAAAATTGTTGAGTAAAATCAGGATCTTGAGTCTTCCTCCCAAGCACAGAAACCCGGGGTTTCGACCAGTCCCGTCAAGCTCCAACTGATGTATTCATGGGAGAGAGAGAGAGCCGGAGATGTTGGAATTGGAAATGTCGAATAAGACAACTGATGTATTCATGGGATCGCCAAGAGCAAAGGAAGGAATGATTAGAAGTATTCCAGTGGTGGAGGAAGGGAGTGGGTTGATCAAAAGATTGTCGGATGGAGACACAGAAGCGAAGTTTGTGCCTTGAGGGCCAGAGAAACAGGAAGGAGGAGAGCAAGTGTTAGAGAGAAAAGGAAGACTGCACTACGATCCGTATATTCTCTAGTTTATGAGTCTGCTCATGCAGAAAGAGAGAGCGACGTGTAATGAATTGAATTTTGTAGGCAACAGCATCCAAGGCCATCTCTTTTGTTCTCTCTGGCTGGGGCATTGTATATTTGGGATTCATCCTTAAAAAGAAAAAAAGCAAAACCAATTTTTGCATAAAGATGAAAAACTATATATATGTCGTCCGATCAGATCGAACTTTGGAAGAGGGAAAGCTTTAAAGAGCAAAATTACAAGAATAGCTTTGGAAAATACTTTTTTTCTGAATCAAGCAGGGCAGAAAAGAAAAGATAGGAGGAATGAAAGGGTGTTGGGTTTTCTTTGTTGTAAAATCGAAGGCCATATTTGATGCTTGGTGTATCTGTAATTGTATGAATTCTGTTAGTATTAGCAGTTACCAGCAAATGGCAATGTTGACTAATTTGATAGATTTGGAGTCTGCGTGTGAGACTCAGCCCTTGGGAGTCAAAAGCTTAAAATAATGAAGATGCTGATTGCCCTTAGATTGCTCATTTCCTTTATTAGCGTTGCCTCCCCAAACCTAAAGTAGCTTCATCCTTACTATACTTAAAAGTATTATTATTATTTTAGTACGGGATGGGGATTCGAGCTCTCTGAACTCATGATTGGATACATATACCTTAATTCGTTGAGCTATGTTCTAGTTGACGTTATTATTATTATGATTATTATTGGTGTAAATATTACATATTGAGTTGGACTGCACCATTTTGTGATCATGCATTCTCATTCCACACATTGAACCTTTGCATTACTTAGCAATAATGTTGGACTTCTTTTAAACCTTAATCTAATTTTTAAGGATAAGAATTAAATTATAACGAATTTTAAAATATAATGACTAAATTGTTATTTTAAAAAATTTAACTAAATATATAGAGATTAAGAACTAAATCGTTACTTAAATAAAAAGATAGAGATTAAATATATTTGTTAACCCAGAAAAGAAAAAGAAAGAGAGAGAAAAAAAAAACCTTTAGCGTCAACAGAGAACCTTGTGGAAAATAAAACTCATCAAAACCCGCTAATAGAAAAAATCAAATCAAAAGGTACCATAATTGATTTTTTTTTGTCCTACTTTACTTTTACGAATTTAGCGCCACGTGTTAGTCACGGGAGTAAGAGAGGTGGTAACATTCTCCCCATGGCACAAAATTAAGTTTTTCTACCACAGAAAAATCGCAGTGCCTCCTAGTGGGAGGCCCAGCAGATACACGAAAGAAAGGGAAACGATAAGCAGAACCTTGTGAAAATAAATTGCAATGCAATGTTTGACCGTGACAGGAAACCGTACAGTTACCATAATACAAATTACACGTTCTTAAACCACCACATGAACATGTGGTCGTATTACATTCTAAATTCCGATGGTACAAAGAAAGCTGGCAAGACATGTCCTAACGCAAAACTAGACTTTGCTTTCATTAGTATTATCGGGTGGGAATCAAAGGAAAAAAACCAAGCCTGAAACAGCGCCTCACTTGACTATATTTTTTTTTTGAGAAGCTGACCCATTATAAAAGATTGGGATACAGCTCTCTTTCCTGAAAAAGATACCTTTGACCTATACCTATCCAAACTCAGATGACTGTACAGGCAATCCTGTTATAATGACCACATAACATCAGCAAAGCATTCTGGAAGAGTTTGCAAAGAAATTCACCTGCCTTCAATAGTGCAATCCATTGTCCTTGAAATAAACATCTTCAGATAGCCCATTCGCAGTCATTTTTGTGGTACCATTTCCGGTGAATTTCGTCACAGAGACTTCAACGCTGCCTTTAATCGTGATTTTCTTCCGACTCTCGGAGCTTTTAACGATAGATTCTAACTGGCCACATGCTGCAGCTATGAGTCCTGTATGACAATAAAAATGCCTATTGCTCTCCCAATCAAAAAATAAAAAGAGAGCTATAGATAGAAAACTGTTGCCCCGACTTCATTTCAAATGTACTAAAACATCCCTCATCTACCAAGCCTTAAAAAATAAAAAATAAAAATCCACAAGCCATCTTACTATGATCTCCGATTTCAAATCTCATCACATTTTCACACAACTAAAAGCATATGGTAGCAGTCTATGACAGTGTCATTTGCTAATAAACTAGGACAAAGAGATGACAAGAACGTGTAATAAGAGTATTCCAAAAGACTTGTATATTTCAGTAATTTTATAATTTGTTTATAGTTTATGTAAAAGAAACAATTAAATATGGAAATACATAAATGGATTGAAGAAATTAATTACACAGTTCAAATGATATATGATCTAAAATTAAAGCATTGGAAAAGAAAAAAGAAATACAAAACCGGAACATTTCCCAAATGAGTTAACATTCTATTAAAGGGAATTTAAAATCATTTACATTATATACAAATATGCCTAAAGAACAAGTTTAATCTTTTATGCTCCGCTATCCCTGCCTCGTACTACTAACAGCAAGCTCTGTTCCCCATAGGTCTGATATATTCTGGATTTTAAAGCTAAAGGCCATCCAAGATTTCATGAGTGATCCTATTCTCTTAATTATGACACATTTTAGTGGAGCATTCAAGGCATAAGGGCATACAGTGATTACTAACAAGCTTTTTTAACTCATATATTCCATCTATGCATGAGCTGTCAAGAGCCAGGTCTGAATTTAAACAGATTTCCTTTTTAATAAATGTTTGATGTCTTTCAGCTCATCAGGATCGAAGGAAAAATAGACCTACCTACCAATTCAAAGGGGCAAGATCAATAGGCTGATGAGAATGATGAGAAGAAATAGTTTTCTTCTACTTTTACATTGTAATAGAACTCATTTTTCAAATCAGAAAGTACTCTCTTGGTGGTAGGCGTATTACATTCTAGGTAATCTATATGGGTCAGACCAATCTATGATGAACTCCACAACAAAGAGTGAAACGTCAGACCCTTTCTCAATTATTAGAGCAAAAAAGTATGCTTTCGAAATAACTCCTTAACGCTAACCTACTTTGTTTGTGTACTGGAATTGCTATCACTTCCTTAGAATAGCACCGCTATGTATCCATTATGTTCAACAAGTGTCAAGCACAAGTACAACAAGTGTCAAATTCGAATATAATGGGCACACAAGACATTGTTCAAAATTCAACCACTTGATGTGGGTCAATCAAGTTGCATCCACCTAACATGTAATGAGATGAGAAAGACATAAAATATGAAAATTTCGATATAACTCAAACTCACCCACATGATTTGAATTGTATCACTCATGACTCCATGTATTATAGGTGTTTCGAGATGTCTTAAATTTTATCATAATTTTCAATTGGATAATTGATAACAGAAAATTAACTACAAAATGTTATCATCCGAAATAAATTACTAAATAAGATTTACATTCCATGTTCTTATTGTACTTTTTGTTATACCCAACACTTTTTTTTTTATATCTGTGTGTTCGGGAAAGCTTGTGCGCACCTGGACTATTCACGAGTCAACCGTCTGACCCTACTATATTTGGTTGACAAGGAAACTCGTAGGATATTAAATCCTAGGTAGGTGGCCACCATGGTTTGAACCCATTCCCTCTAAGTCCTTTGTTATTTACATTTGCCCTCATTGACCACTTGGGTCATCCCAAACCCATTCCCTAAACCCAACACTTAACTAACGATGATGAGTATCTTTGTAATAAATTACTAACTTATCGCTAATTTGTAATAGTACCATAATTTATATTTTTTAATAATGAATTATTTTTTAGAATACTTCTATGCATGACTTTGCAATTCAAACAATCATATGTCTCAATATCCTCCCACTTTACCAACTATACACTCAAGCTTGAATATAGGCAACCAGGATGCACCACACGTTGCCTCTTGTTAGTGCTTCATATATATGTCAAAAGATAGCACATACACTAGTTATTTTGAGCAACGAAAATGGCACATTAACGAAACTACAGTATCATGTTTCATAGATAGAAAAAATTAGCAGCACCAAAATATTTGTGAACAATGAAAGCTGCTAAATATTAACAGCTACTAAAATTGACAATGTTAATACGTTCAGATATCAAACTTTCTAAATTACCACTCCAGTATACCATACAACATCATAAGTTGCTCTATCTAAAAGATAAAATGTTATTTCCTCAACTACTCATTATACGGCACATCCTACTGCAACATACAAATACCTGGCGAAGGCCATTCTTGAAGGAGTAGACTAGAATCTGATAATGCGTCAATAAAGGTAGTATACTATTGATACTCGGCTTAAAATATTACAAATATAACATGAGAAGACTACTGCTTAACATCAAGCTGAATGCATTTAGGGATGAGAGAGAACGTACCCAAGAATAATGCAGAAGGTTTTCCTGGTCTTGATTTAAATTCAGGATGGAACTGAACACCAATGAAGTATGGATGACAAGCCAGCTCAACAATCTAAATCAATTAACATACCATAACCATATTAGAGGCACTATGCGTATATAGTTACATAAGATTTACAAGGTAGGTATTCCTACCTCCATCCGTTGACGTGTTTCATCCTTGCCAGTGAAAGAGAGTCCAGCACATTCAAGACGTGACACCATATCAGGATTAACCTGAGCATGTCCAATTTTCCTTTTTCTTGTTAAATACTAATATTGTTTAAAGAAAATTTAAACATCAACAGTAATGTTACTCACCTCGTATCTATGCCTATGTCTCTCATCAATGAAACTTTTATTCCCATACCTAGAAGATTTAAATTCACATGTCAAGTAAGCTGAGGCGTCTACTTAGCAACAAATACCCAAACAAAATCTTTTTCTTTCTTCTTTTGTCTTAAAATACCTAGAGAGTCTTACTCAGGTTGAATGAAATATTATACATTTATGTAGATCGAGTCATCAACGCCCCTAAAAAAAGATATATATTATTCGCTTCTTACTACAAACAAGTTTTTATATACTGTTTTTGGTGTTGTGTTGTGTAATACATTGCTTGTTGACTCCATATCCTACGATTTTCTTTGGCAACCAAATATAGTACGGGCAAGAAGTTGTCCCGTGGTGAAATTAATTGAGGTGTGCGTAAGCTGGCCCAGACACTCACGGATATAAAAAAATAAAATAAAATAAAAGAACATTGCTCGTTGACTTTTGAATTAGGTTTTGACCGGATCATGCACAAGAAAAGATCTACTCGTCAAATCCTTAGAAGAAATACTTACAGTTTTGCAGACTTGCAATCCATAACCTGGAAATATGTTCTCCTAGATCCAAGGCGCATGGTTCCACCCATTTGTGTTTTAGAAACCTGGTAATAATAGCAATATAGCATAAGATTAGAAATAAGCAATACAGTGAATGCTCCAAAAAAGAGGAAAGAACTTCATTAGAAAATACCTCGGGCATAAATATAACACATGGATTCTTCGTGTTGGTATCAAATTCAGTGCTATTGGCATCTTTCAGACCAAGAACAGATCGTGCAAACTCAATGACAGCAATTTGCATTCCTAGGCAAATGCCTAGAAATGGAACTTTGTTTTCTCGGGCATACTTTGCTGCAAGGATTTTCCCTTCCACTCCTCTGTCACCAAAACCACCTGGAACTAGTATACCATCTGCACCCTGAAGATCATGGCTAATTAGTGTGTCTAACACAAAGCTACCACAAAATTAAAAAATAATAAATCCAAAGGAGCCATGCGAGGCAGCGAGCATAGTATCATGAACCATTTATGATACATACCTTCAACAGCTTCCAAGCAGCCTTATGAGCACATGGGTTCTGCAGTAGAAAAAGTCTCCTGTATAAGACACACGGCTGGAAATAAAAATATAGAGGGAAAACATCAAGCATTCAACTCGGAAACCTCTTGAGCAGTAGCATCTTCAAGATCTCCAGCTGGAACCCAGTCAACAACAAGTTTCTTTAGACATCTGAGAGAGGCATGCTTAAGAGACTGCATAGAGCATTGCATTTTGTATAAGATATCTGTATCTAAAGCTATGATGGGTGTACACTTAACATCCAAAACAATAGACCAAATAAACTTGCACTGCATGGACAGATACTATGTTCCGATGCATTAAATTAGGAACATAAAAACAAGGTAATAAGTTCACAAAATTATCATAGAATTGTCCTCGACACAAATATTTATGCTGTAGAAACTAGAAAGAGAACCATATAATATGATGCAGGCAAATGTTTTAACAATACCCTCTCTAAAGCAATGAAAATGATGTAATATTAGTTTCCAGCCAGTCAAGTTCAACCAGCTCCAAAAATATGATTCTAGACACTAAAGATTTTATTTTATTAAAAAACATAGAAATAAACTTTCATTAACGAATATTTTTTACACAGTAGAAGTAGACCAAGGAGTTGTACTTCAAAAGAAAATAAACCAAGTAAAGACAGCTAGAAAACCAAGCTCGCAAAATTAAGAACAAAGGAATACCTCTAAACAGCTTGGTGGATGACATGCATAAGCAGTCTTACATTTTATATGATTATAGAAGCAGTCTTTTATTTTATATATATTAGAAGCAGTCTTTCATTTTATATATGAAACAGTTCATCGTAAATAGTAAAACTACTGTATTAACTGATAGGAAGTAGAAATTGGAGTGAAAATTAAAGAAATAAAGGAGGGTTTGTATTACTGCTAAAAGAAAAGAAATAGAAAATGTTACAGCTCCTTGAGAGGACTGCCTCTCTCCAAGCTTCACTCCAATATTTGTCTACTCTAACACCACATGATCTAAAAAACACCATGTATAAGAAATTACCACGGAGGAAAGAGACAATCTCTCGAGGAAAGAAACTTCTATTAGGAAAGTACACAAATGGAAACTCTTTGAGAGAAGGCTCAGTCACACTCTCTAACTATACTTCACCTACTTTCCTCACTTTTTTTCACTTTTCTCACTTTCTTCACATAATATGTGGGGATATCTCTCCTATTTATAGGAAAATTATCATTGGAGCCCGAGTAAGAAGATTTTTCTAGACTCCTCTATAAAGTATCCTGGACGCTACTTAATCTATCGTATCCAAAGGAATTCTCTAGAATCTTTTGGAGCCTAAGGGAAAAACTAAGATATTTCTAGAGTATCTTTTATATATATTTACAATCTTCAAGAACAACTAAAAAGACTAATACATTAAAGAGAGAGATGGACACTCCAAGAAGTTTTTAGATAGTTAGTGTTGTATTTTAACACCTCCCTCAACACTAACTATTCTGGCTCTTTCGACCATCCTAAGTTGTTGTTGGCACTCTGCATACTTGAATTTAGTTAATTCTTTGGAGAATGTGTATCCAATTTGATCTTTTGTCTTTATTGGTTTCGTATCAATTTCTTCTTGAAGTATCCTTTCTTTGATGAAGTGATAAATGTACCTCCATATACTTGGTTCTCGTATGGAATATTGCATTATTGGCCAAGCAAAGTGCAGGTTGGTTGTCATAATATAATGTCACTACTTGATCAAAACTTCTTAGGGTAAATTGTTCATTAGTTATTTTATCCACATATTCTCCTAGGGGTGTTCAAAAAACCCGACAACGCAACGAACCCAACCCGTAAGGGTTGGTTGGGTTGGAAAAATCCCAGCCCAACCCTACATTCTGGTTTTTTTAATATATATATATATATATATATAATAATTATTAATCAAAACCTTCTTCAATCTCTGCCATCCATTTCCATTTAATCTCAACCATCTATTTCTATTAGGGTTTCATCCCCTTTATCACATTTTTGAAATCTCATTTTTCTAATCCCTTCCTCTCCTCCAACCAAACCCTACCTTCTCCTCCATTTTTATCCATCAAGCTTGAACTCTCTCCCTCTGCCGCGCACCATCTCTTGCCGCCGCCGCAATAAATGCATGTGCTAGAGGTGATTTGGATTAGGAGGAATTGTTGGGATTGTTTGTCGAGACGAGGCACGAAGGGGTTCAACTTGATCTGCAAGTGCTTGGTCTTCGTTCTTGTTATGTTCTTGGTCCTATTCTATTAGGTCTTGGAAACTTGGGAAATCTGACCMGTTTATATTTTTTGTTCTCTGTTTTTTTTTTTCTGTTCTCTATTTGTTTGTTATTTTGTTCTCTGTTTTTATTTTTATTTTGAAGAAGAAGAACAGAAGAAGAAGAAGCAGGAGAAGAAGTAGAAGAAGAAGGAGATTAATCAATTAAAAAAAAAAGGAACAACCCGACAACCCAACCCAAATTTTATTGGGTTGGGTTGGGTTGGCCATCATTTTTCAATTCGCCGGTTCCCACAAATTCCCAACCCGAAAATTCGGGTTGGTCCCAAAAACACCCCCAACCCGTGAACACTCCTATATTCTCCTGTGCGACTATGGCGGCTGCTGCTGCTCAATATTTTGCTTCTGTGGTAGATAATGCAACTGTTAGTTGTCTCCTGTTGCACCAAGAAATTGCTCCAGAACTAAGCTTGAACAAGTACCAGTAGTTGACTGTCGTGTAACATGATCTCCTGCATAATCAACATCACGAAAGCCTTCCACGTATCAGATATGGGTCGATGGCCCACGTATCAGATATTAAACTGATAAGAACAAATACTACACTTGATCTTAGCCAAAAGGCCAAGAAAGGTATCTCATCTCCTTTCTTATATAGAAGGCTATATTCAATCGTTCCTTTAAGATAACTTAGAATTCTTCAAGCTGCTTCAATATGAGGCTTTTTTGATTTCTGCATGTAGTGACTCCCAACTCCAACAAAATACAGGATATCAAGGTCGACAAGATCTTTTCCTTCATACATGCAGAACTTTTTGTTTACCTCCATTGATGTGGGATATTGACTTTCATACATTCATTCCTTATTTCTGCAGCATATCCTTCACATACTTTTATTGTCCAAGAAACAACGCTTCCTTTGAGCGCTTTATCTCTAGTATGAGGAAATGCTTTAGTTCTCCAAGTTCTTTCATTTCAAAATGAACCAACCGATTTTGCTTTATTTGTTGAATCTCTTCTGTGTGGTCTTTTAATATGTTTGTAACCTTCGAGTCTTGAGCTTTAAGGAATTAGCTAGAAACTGTTGGATAACGATTATGAACTATGAATTCAGCAATTTTTCCATACCAGTCTCTTGGTTCTTGTTTCAAAACATGTAAAGCCTTCCTCAACTTGCAAATGTAGTCTTGATGAGCTTCAACCTCAAATCCTTTTGGTTGCTCCATGTATATTTCTCGATCGAGCTCTTCCAGTCTTTACTGGCTACAAGTGCTAATATGACTCGAACAATGGTGAGCTTTGATATTGGACTAAACATCTCATCAAAGTCCAAATCATATTGTTGAGAGAACCCACGAGTCAACAATCGAGCTTTGTATCTCTCTATTGTTCCATCTGCTCGAGTTTTTATTTTGTAAGCCATTGACACGATATGGACTCAAGACCTTTAGGTTTTGGCACCAAGTTCTACTTCTTCCATGGCCTTTCTCTGTTGGATGTTTTGAGATGCATCTTCATATGTCGTTGGCTCTTCAAATGTTGCTAATGTTGCATTAATGCATCTAGGGTTTGGTTTTCTCTATCTCGTTGATCTCAGCAATTGCGACTCATCATGTACTCCACTCTACCAAGGACTTTGTTTCTTTAACTGTTCTTTTACCTCTTTCGTTGTTTTCTTCTAGAAGATCTTCTTCTTTTAGAACTTGTTCGACTTGACTCATCTCTTCCTTTGATCCTTCTTTGAACGAGCTTACTTCTCCAGGTGCTTTTTCTGATTCTTGTGACCACCATGATGATGCTTCATCAAATATAACATTTCTTGATGTATGGCATCATCCAGTGATAGGATCAATGTACCTCCACCATTTTCTTTGATTGTCATATCCATCAAAGATGCATCTGCTTGTTTTCTTGTCAAACTTGCTTTTCAAATGATTTGGCACAAATACGTAGCACATGCAACCCAAAACTTGATAAATGTTTGACTGTTGGCTTGATGTTCAACAACTTTTCATAAGGTGACTTCACCACAAGCCTATGTTGGGGAAGTCTATTAATCACATGGGTTGCTGTTCTCGTGACTCAACCCAAAATCTTCATGAAGCGTTATTTGCATGTAACATGCTACAACATACTTCTACAAGATGTCTATTCTTTCTTTCAGCCACTTCATTTTATTGTGGAGTATTTGGACACGTCAATTAATGACATCTTAAATTTTTGTAAATACTGTGAGAATTCATTTGACATATATTCTCCCCATTATCTGTACGTAAGCATTCAACTTTCTTCCCCAATTCTCCTTCAACTTGTTACTTGAATTCTATAAATTTTTTAAATGTTTAAGACTTTTCTTTCATAAAGAAAACCCAAACGTTCCTGGAGAAGTCATCGATGAAGGTTACCATGTAGCGCATGCCACTAATTGAAAGGTTGTTTGACCCGACAAAATACGTCAGAGTGCGCTAGCTCCAATGGTTCCTTTGCTTTGAATTTGGACTCCTTGATGGTATTTGATGTGCCTTTCATTTTCATACTAACAACCAACGTACACAATGTCTTCTCTAACACTAAGTTAAGGTAGCCCCTTGAATATAAACTTGCACTCCAAGAACGAGTTGTGTCTCATACAATAAGCTTCACAGCCCAGACTGTTCAGTCTTTAGAAGCTCCACCAAAGCAAGCTATGCTAGCTTGGCTCTAAGACCACTTGTACAATAAGTACAATAAATTAGCACAAAGGAAAGAAACATTTATTAGTAAAGTACACAAATTGACACTCTTTTTAGAGAAGACCTTTCTCACACTCTAAATTTCTTCACTTATTTGGTTCACTTTCCTCACTTTCTTCACTTGCATAATATGTGGGGACATCTCACATCTTTATAGGAGAAGGATCTTTGGAGCCCAAATAAATAGATTTTTCTAGACCCCTCTATAAAGTATCTTAGATATTTCTTAATCTATCCTTGTCCAAAGGAATTCTTTAGGAGCCTAAGAGAAAAGCTAAGATATTTCTAAAGTATCTTTTAAATATATTTACAAACTTCAAGAACTATCTAGAAAGACTAATACATTTAAGAGAGATATGTGGAGACTCCAAGTATTATTGTTTTTTTTTAACACACCATTCTCAAACAAACTTAGCAATTGATCGATAATATGCCTGTAAACACAACTCTAGAGTAACCTTCTAAACCCTTTTCTTTCTTTCCTTACAAACTCTCCAGATAATGGCCTATAGCACAAATGCAAGTGGACTCTAAGAAAGTCAACCGCACAGAGTTCATTTTCTACTGTGCACTCCAGGAGGCTTAAAACATTTTATTATGACAGAAAAAATGCATGAGTTAGTAGAGCTTATTATTTACATGTAATGTCGTCACAATCAAGCATAACACACAAGTGCATACAATGAAATAAAAATATTTTCTTCACGACATTAAAATAAAACAGACCGCTGAATCCTAAATGCATTACATGATTTCAACACTCCTATCCGGACATCTTGAGACCCTCCAAAAGGAAGAACAAATGGCATCTTTCTTCAAAGATGACAACGACATTCTTCTTGAGACTTGCAACAATCACAGTCAAAATTACTTTTAAGTGCAAGGGAGGATACTAGCTTCAGTAAACATAGAAGTAAAATATCTGAAAATAACTATTCTGAGCATATGCTATGAGTGTAACTTGTTAGCATAATAAAAGAGAAAAGGAGCTCGAACGAAAAAGGTCCCAGATGGGCTCTTACATGAAAAAGGATGGAAAAAATCCCTAGTCAAATGAGTGGCACCTAGGTGCATACTCGGTGTTAGTTGCCTAGCATAGTATTAGGCAAGACATTAGTGCACACAGCACATAAAAGCATTTTTTAGAAGACTTCTTGTGACTTTGTAAGTATGACCTATATATGCTTTTAGAAATCAGCTAAGGCATTGGGTTTTTAGTGATAGATCATGTAAACTAATATGCTGTTGCTATTTGAATTGTGATTTATAATTTAAATAACCGAAATAAAGTCAACATTGTCCACTGTATGTGAAAGTGATAATCACTCTAGAAACAATACACTAAGACCATGGATGCACAAATGACAATTCTACTCTTTACATTGTCCAGGTACTTCTTTATACTGCCGGCTCAAAATATTAAGATCTTAATTTGATGTCTGGTTGTACCTTTAGCACCGAAAGGTAGGAATCTGAAAGGCCCGTATACTTTCCAACCATTGCAATGCGAACCTGTTAATGGCAAACATATAAAGCAAATGTTATAAGCACAAAGTAAATAGGCAAGCTAAAACCTGAATTTCAAACAATGCAGAGTTGGACTCCACCGGTTCATGCAATGAATCACATATTTTAGCCCTAGTAGTCCACTCCTCTAAAGCAGGGTCACAAGCTATACTGCATATGGCAGAATATGGGTGTTAAAAAATGAGAATACAAATAAATCGTGAAGTTGGTTGCAATCAGAATTGTGACATCAAACAAACCTGTAAAGATTCAGCACTTTCAAGATTGCTTCATGTGCTTTTTGATCCTAATAGGACAGCAAAGAATATCAATATCCACATCCGCTCAATAAGAGTGTCATTCATTATCTGAAACCACCTTACTTTCAAAAGTAAAGGAATGTGCCAAATGTTGGGAACGTCATAAAGAGTGATGACACTGTCAACCTAGAAAAAGTTACTTTAGTAAAAATGTAAAAGTTAACAAAAAGGGATTGATAAATACAAAGTAATAGGTTCAATGCGGTATTTTGCTGAAGTGATGCTGCTACCGGAACATGGCAAAACTGAGAGAGTTTCCTCTTCACATTTTCATCAAGAGCCTGAAACAAAGTAGAATCTTGAGCCAAAATAACAGAGCAAAATGCCGCAGTTCACCAGGTATATGTATAAATGAGGAAGTAGGTCACCGTTGTGCTGCGACAAGCCAAAACATGTGGGGACAAACCTAGGCTTCGTAGTCCCCTAACACTATGCTGAGTTGGTTTTGTTTTCTGAATATAGCAACGACCAAATCAGCAATTAAATTTGAAGTGCCAAATCATGTACAAATGCTGCATTTCATTCCATACCCATATAAATGTGAGATGGAGAGAGCTTACCTGCTCTCCAACAACTTTCAACACAGGCACAAGGCTGACATGAATCAGGCAAAAGTTACCAGAACCTAAATGGAACTGAAATTAGAATGACCAAACACCAGCGTCTATGAACAGAAACTTCCCTACACAACAATTCCTACCTACACGATAGGAGAATTGCCCAAGCGCCTCAATAAATGGCATGGATTCAATGTCTCCTGCAACCAACCAAATGATTAGGACCTAAGTAAGTGTGAGGAATAAACTCAACTGTGACATAACAATCAATGCCCTCATTCTATAATCTATACCAATAGTTCCACCCAATTCAATCACACAAACATCAGCTGGACCATCCTTTCCATCCACTGGTATCAAAGCAGCACGCTCGATCCATTCTTGAATTGCATCCGTAATATGTGGAACAACCTATAAATCAAGGAATTACAAGAATGATAGGTAAAAAAGATGCCAACAGTTCAATAGTAATAAAACATTACTCTTCTAGCAATATTATATATATATATATACACACATACATACATATATATATAACTCGCAGAAAGGAATACCTGGACAGTTTTTCCAAGATAATCTCCTCTCCTTTCCTTATCGATAACCGACTGCCAGATATGAAAAGAATGAAACTCCAACTTTAGCAGTTGATTCCCATCTAGGATTACTGATCTTCATGCATCACAACTTTATACGTACTGTAGATATTGATAATTCGCATAAGAAAACTTGCCTGGTAGATCTTCCCTGTAGTAATATTATTGTCGTGGGTCAACTTGATATCTAGGAACCGCTCGTAGTTCCCGAGATCCAGGTCCACCTGAGGTACAAAAACAAAGAAAATCAAATTTGACTAAGTCATTACCAGTTGCAATCAAAGTCCAGGACATCCACAGACAATATCTCAATAATTTTTATAGAAAAATACTTGGCTACTTGACAGTAGGGAGAAATCTTGTCTTCACCACTCTTAAATGTTTGACAGCTAAGAGAGAGAAATGTAAAAATAGAGACTTTTTATAAAAATTAATGACTTGTCAATTTTTAACGGTGGTGAGAACAAACGTTAAGGAACCAAGTATTTTCCATTTTTATATGGATGCTGCATACCCGTATCAATCCATTCTTATGAAGCAGATGATGTTAGTGGATTACTTCTTTTATATGTATAATCTTGCATGTCCATCACAGGGGGACATAACAAAGTCTGATTTATGAATACTTACTGATGTTAGAAACCATATATTGAAAGAAAGGGGAAAGAAGAAAGAGAAAAGGAAAAAATAAAAGGCATAAAAAGGGAAACCACATACCTCACCACCGTCATCTAATACAAAAACCTCTCCGTGTTCGAAAGGGGACATCGTTCCCGCATCTGTATTTAAGTAAGGATCTGAAATACAGAATAAATAAATATTATTGAGCAACTGAGCAATACTTCTAGTTGCAAGACGTTGCAATCGTATGTTTGTACAAGGAAAATTTCACAGGTAGTCAAGTAGATGTCGAAGAAACACATGAAAGTTGATGTTGAAAAGTTTGATATGAAGACAAAAGATGAAACAGCAGCAGCAATCGATCTCCTTTTGTTACTTTTCGAATAATTGAGAAGCAGAAGATATATGATGTTGCCTCAATCCCCCCCACCCCCCCAAAAAAAATACAGGCATTTGATATTTTTAACACCACCCTTTTGT